GGTCAAGTCAGGTTTGGGTGGTCGGAACAGTGTCCAGGGACTACACAAATCAATCAGTCAATAAAGGGGGAGGAGGATATATAAACTTGTTATGGAGTGCTATCTATTGAGAGTTTCATTACCTTTGCCTCTGGCCAATCTTTGGGTATTTATAGGTGGTATGAACCGTGGGATGTGGAACACGTGTATACATCTGACGGTATGAAGCGTCTGCTCATAGGCGTCAATCAGCCGCGCTTGTAGAATGGGCGGACAGTGTGTTTCCCCCGAGTTGAATTGACATAAAATTGATAAGTCACATCAAATAGCTTTATGGGGGACGTCAAATCAATTTAAACCTTATATGTAGAGCAAATCTTAAATTGGCAGCGAATCTTCTAACGGGGGTCCACTTGAACCCGACCTCGGAGACGGGACACTTCAACAGATCAGTGACAGGAATCGGTGTACCACTTTGGAGAAGCTTCGGGAGGTCGGAGTGGTGAGAAGCTTCGGGAGGTCGGAGTGGTAAGAAGCTTCGGGAGGTCGGGGTGGTCTATTTGATTTCACCGGCTTCGGAGTGGCGAGATGACACTTCGATACCTCGGTACCGAGGCTCATAAAAATGAGGCGTAACACATAGTACAAGTATTTATAGTTCAAACTTGACGAGAGAAGATTATAAAGTTTAAACACGCGTTAAAGTACAGCAAATCTATGCATGAGTAGAAAAGATTAAAGAGTTTGGATACAGTTTAAATTACAACAATTGAAGCCTTGTTAACTATATGTGGGGAGGTTTATATTCTTGTGAAGAACCTCATCCCTTTAACAACTTCGGAAGTGAATGATCATAACTAACTACTTTACGTACATTGTTTCACTAAATAAGATAATTTAATTTATTTATTTTTTTCAAGAACTATAGCTATAGATTTAACTTCAATTTATTCGCTATTTTTTAGTTTGTACAAATGATTGACGAGAAGAGATAAAATCAAGATATAGGAAGAAAATGAAACAGTCCTACTCTAGTTTATGTAACGTAGTCTTTAAGCAGAACAAATGTGACGAATATTTTTTAAAGGATGATTATGGTTAGAACGAGAAAGAGTGGAAAAGCATTTGAATTGCATTTAGGAAAAGAAAAGGTGATTTGTTGTTTATCAATCCCATAAATCTTCCAACTCAAGTCATTGATGTCCAAAACGTTTTGATTAGTCCATTCCATCAATTAGAAGTTCTATACAAATATTAAACATATCATCGTCAATCAACACAATCATGTTGTGACAAGTAGGGGAGAAAAATAATCCAGCAATTAACCAATGATAAATCAAATCATGTCTTTCAATGATAATTGACCGATGACTTCATTTTATTTTAGTTCAATTTTATTTTACTTTTCCTTTTTTCTTATATATATAAAAAAAAAGATTGAACCCCATCCTTGAGAGCTCCCACCGTTCCGCCCTTGGAGCTTTGTGAGGGAGGTAAATCGAAAGATGCGCCCCAAAAGGTCAAGGAACAAGAATTGTCTGTATACTGTGCCTACAAGGAGTCCAATTCCATATTTCAAGAATCGAACCCCCCCACCTGCGACTGTTAACAAGGTATGAGATAACCTTACTCATGTCCTTTGCACCACTGAACTATGCTCCGAGTGGCTACTTTTCCTTTTTTCTATTTTGAGCGAGGAGGGGAGTACCTATCCTAGAACCATTGACCTCATTTATGAAAAGAAAAATTCCTAAACATTTACATTTTACTTTTATTTAGGTAAAGAGAGCATCTTCCGCTCTACCTTGCA